GGCGCCGCCCACATGAGCAGGGAGTTGGGCGAGTCTCGGGGGAAGTCGCGGTTGGCTCCCGACGCCAGCTGTCCCCCGGAGAAGCCGCGCAGCGCGTCGCTCCAGGAGTGCGAGGAGCCGTAGATGGCGCTGCCGTCCAGCCAGCCCGTCACCTCGTTGGTCTGCGGGGCACGCGGCGCGTGAGCCGGAGGTCGGCCGGCGGAGGCGGGTAAGGGAAGGCCGGGGCCGGGCGGGTGGCAAGTGGGAGCCTGTCCCCGCTAGACCCCGCAGGGCCCCACCCGCCCCGGGCGCGAGCCCCGCTTCCCGCCTCACCAGGTCCCGGGGATTGCTGGGGCTCCGTCCGGTCTCGGGGTCCCAGCGGCTCCTCTGGAAGGGCAGGACCACGTCCCCGCGCTGGTGGGGGTCGAACACGGGGTCTCCGGGTGGGATGCGGATGTTGAGAAACTCGGCGGGGCAGCCTGGCGTTTCCACGCTCACCACGTCCGAGAGCACATGGTAGCCTGTGGGCGTGGAGCACAAATAAATGAGCAAACGATGTGTACGGAGCCTGCCCCATGGCCAGGACAGCCTCCAGGTGTTCTCAGGAGCCGGACGACAGATGTCTCGGTACAAACTCTGCCACCAGCTCTGCGGCTCGGCCCCAGTGAACCTCAGTTTTCTAATCTGCAAAGTGAGAATGTAGTAAGTATCCTTCCCATCCAATTCATACCGTTGTTGTGAGAATCAAAATGATGTAATTAATGTAAGGGTTCCCCCAAGCCAGTCCCCCTCCCTCTGCAGGGCGAGGTGATTTTAATTCTATGAGGAGGAGAGCAGCGGCTGGGGCTCAGTTCCCAAAAACACTCCTAGAGTTTGATGTCAGGGAAAAATTAGGGGAGCAGATATCCATGTATCGACACCCCAAATCCCTCTGAAATGAAGGTGAACTCTCAGTGCTGCTTAGCGGGAACGAGTGGTTGGGACTCTCGGAGCGCTCTCCTGCGGACTTGCAGAGGGACCTCAGAGGCCCTCTCCCCATGCTGAGTCGAGTGCCCACCGGTCTCCCCCTTTGCCCTCACCAAAGAAGACCCCCAGCACGGTGCGGTTGTGGAGCGATGCCAGCCCGGCTGGGCCCTTCGTGGCGGCGTCGCTGAGCCGGCGCGGGTTGGGCAGCAGCGGCTCTCCCAGAGCCTGATACACACCGTCGGCGTAATTGGCTGGGACAAGGCGCCGCAGCCGGGAGCCTGCGGAAGGCCGGGAGGAGCGGGGCTCTGTCAGAGCACCCTATCCCCAAGAAGCCCCCAAACCTCGCCCTACGCCTCCCCCAATCCCGCTCCTTCCACTGCACAGAAGTAACCCTTACTCCCTAGGGTCTGTCCCCAGAAGACCGTGAGATTGCGCTGCGTAGGCAGCCGGGGCTGCCTGCGCCGCTTTGCCCCGCTTCTCGGCGCCTGGGGTCCTGCACCCCTGCCCCCCAGCCAGCCGCGGCCCCACCCACCCGGGCCCAGGACGCACCGGCAGCGCCGCGCTCGTGGTGCCTCAAGTTGTTGAACCAGCCGTCGTAGCGCTGCACTTCCCAGGGTAGCGAGAGTGCGTCCTGACCGCCTATGGGCACAGAGAGCGGCCCCCTCAGCACCAGTTCCCCGGCGGCCCCTCCGGGCTCGGACGTCCTCCGCCGGTTTCTTCAGCTCGCCGTGCGCCCTCAACCGAACCCAAGCGGCGATACCTGCGCCGCGTCCAGGCCGCGCTGGGAAGTTTCCCATCCCGCTGAGCTGCGCAGCGACCTGCCCTTCCAGGCTCAGGGAGCCGCTGGCAGCACTTCTCCCGTCCCCCACTCCCAGGGGATACTTGGTGACACCCCGCAGCTAGGGGAGCCTGACTCTTACTCGTTGGATCCAGGGATCCAGTCAGCAGAGCTCCCAGGAGCACCAATGCCTCTGGTCTTGCGCGGAGCATGCCGACCATGCAGCCTGGTGGGGGGGGGGGGGGGGCGTTAAATGGGATACAAGAGACTCAGAACAGGCGTCCCCCGCCCCTCCCCATTCCTACAGCCGGCACTGGAGGAGGAGCGCCAGCTGTTTCTACTTCCGGAGCGAAGCTGCCAGAAGCATCACTGAGGACCCGCAACCGCCCGCCACTCTTTCCAGGACAATTGCCAGCTCTGGGGGATTGATGTTCTCCATCCTGCACCCCATCGGAGAGCTAAGCCTGACCACAAGAACCCATTGGGCATGAGACTTCTGGGGAACATGAGTCTTGGGCAAAACTGGTCCACCTTCCCATCATGCGCCAATCTCGAATTCCTCGACCCCCGATCTCTCAGGCACCGCTTCTCCTCGAAGGAGGAGGGAAAAGGAGAGAGACCACTGAGCCGAGGAGCCCGGGACCCGCAGTCCCCTCTTCCGCAATGAAGGGTTGTGCATGACGGGCGAGGGCTAGGAAGGTCAGGTCCCAAACTCCGGTTCGCTCTCTGGTTTAGGGTTCCCGTCGGGTTCAGAAGTCTTCTTTCCTCCTAAAATCTTTGCCTCACTGCTCTGCATCCTCCCCCAGTTCCTCCGACCCTCAGCCCCCACGGGCTGCACTCTCACCCTCCTCTCTGGGTCCCCAGTCTCGCCGCCGCGCAGGTGTTCGCTCCGGACAGACTTGAGCGGGTATGAGCATCTGGATCCCGAGCTCACCCTCCTGCTGCGGGGGCGCGGCTCTCATTTGCATAATGTCCGCCGCCCCTTATTTGCATGACCTCTTCCCGCTCAGACCCCGTGGCAGGGCTGGGACGCCACCTCGGCAAGCTGCCCGCGCTCCTATAAAAGGGGTCCCGGCCCCGCGGGGCATCCAAACGCAGCGCCAACCCAGAACCTGGAAAGCAACTTGGCCACGGCCAATGAGAAATAATTCCGCTCGTTGGCTAACCGAATTCTGCCGGCATCCACCGCAGAGCGTTGGAGGGACGCCCGCCGCTCCGCTTCCTTAGCCGAGACCGTGGGGCTCAGACTAGGTCCCGGCCTTGTGCGCAAAGGGACACGGACGACACGCTCTCTCGTGTCCAGGCAGCCCAGCTCGCGCGCCCACCCTCCCACGTGTAGCGCTCTCCAGCTTGCAGCATGACCCTGTGGAACGGCGTCCTGCCTTTTTACCCCCAGCCCCGGCATGCCGCAGGCTTCAGCGTCCCGCTGCTCATCGTCATTCTAGTGTTTTTGGCCTTGGCAGCCTCCTTCCTGCTCATCTTGCCTGGGATCCGTGGTCACTCGGTAAGGGGGGGTTCTCTAGCTGGGGGGCCCGAGGGGGGGGCGTCATAGGCAGCTTGTCTCTAGGGAACCCAGGACAGGTAAGATAAGGGCCTCCACGAATACTCAAGCTGAGGAGCAGGAGCAGCGAATTCAGGAGCCTAGTGCAGCAAGCACTGCTCCCCAAGGACAGGGAGTGCTCCCCATCCAAGACAGCCTGAAGAGGACACAGCTGGGTCATTTGGAAAGCATTTGCAGAGAGTGGGCACTCAGTCCAGTCACCCCGGAGCTGAGTCTAGGCTTTATGGGCTGCCAGGGTCTCCCACCTCTCCTGTTGACTGCGAAGGAACTTCCATCCTGTCCTCTGGATGATTACCTTCTGGCCAAGAGGACAGGCACCAGCAGCTCCGACTGCTGTGTTTCCCCTTTATGCTGGGTTGAGACGTGTGTATCGGTGCCCCATCCTAAGGACACAGAGAATCCCACATAGGATTTGAAGTTGTAGCAGACTGAATGCATTTCTTTATCCTTTGGCCACCCCCCAGAATCCCGGCTGTGCATTTTTCAAGTCTAGGAGGACCCAGCTTTTCTGCACCTTGATCTGTGTTGGTTTCCCAGAGAAACATTTCCACCTCCTCTACTTGGTCACGGGGCCCTGGGGCCTCCCTCTTGTGAGGGAGGTGACCCCTGCCTGCCTAGCACTTCTGGATTTACTGAACCTCACCACTGACTGGACCAAGAGGAGGGACCAGGGCCAGGCGCCAGACGGCTGGGGGAGTGAAGGTGGTGGGGGAGTGCCAGGCAGATGCAAGGGCTGTAGGACTTAGTGGCTAAGCACCCCCAACCTCCTTCCTGGGGAGGAGGAAGCGCATGGCCAGAAAACAGCAAAAATGCCAGTAGCCCTGAGGGACTCGCAGGAAAAGCATGCCTGGCATTAGCCCCAAAGGTCAAGAATGTAACTCAAGATCAAGGTGGAGTGGGGTTAAGGGAGGTCTTGGGGACTCTGGTTGGGCAGTACCCAGGCCTAACCCGGTGCCCGTTCCTGCAGCGCTGGTTCTGGTTGGTGAGAGTTCTTCTCAGTCTGTTCATAGGTGCAGAAATTGTGGGTAAGTGTGTGGTGCAGCCCATGGGGAGAGGTCCTGGGGTGAGGAAGGAGGTGGGCAGAGAGCACCTGGGAAAACAGGGACTGGGGTTGGCGTCCTGCTCCCTCTTCCCACTCTCCAGCTCTTTTTAGTTCCTGCTCATCAACACTCACCATGCGGTCACGTTGGACTTCCAGGTCCCCATTTCTCTGCAGTGTCGCAGCTCCCATCACCACTCTCCTAATTCCATCTCCCCCTCCCCCGCCACGTGCCTTTTCCTACAGCCGTGCACTTCAGCTCAGAGTGGTTCGTGGGTAGAGTGAACACCAGCACATCCTACAAAGCCTTCAGTGCAGCGCGCGTTACAGCTAATGTCGGCCTGCTGGTGGGCCTGCAGGGCATTAATATTACACTCACAGGTAAGGGGGCTGGGCCGAAGTGAACTCCTGGGGGTGGGAAATCCCATGGTGAGGGGAGTGTGGCAGGGGTAGCTGGAAGACCCCTCACATCCCGCAGGCTCAAATAGCTTTTGGATTTGCGTTTTCCCCTACCAGGGGCAAACCCGTTCCTCCCACCTTGGGCGCCTCACCTGAGCTTTTCCTATCTGAATCCGCTCCGTTGCGGAGTCCCCAGCCCCGCGAAGCCCCATGACTTCGCCGATCCCCGCAGGGACCCCGGTGCAGCAGCTGAACGAGACCATTGACTACAACGAGCAGTTCACCTGGCGTCTGCATGAGGACTACGACGCGGAGTACGCGGACGCACTGGAGAAGGGGCTTCCGGATCCAGTGCTCTACCTAGCGGAGAAGTTCACACCGAGCAGCCCTTGCGGGTTGTACCACCAGTACCACCTGGCGGGACACTACGCCTCGGCCACGCTGTGGTAAGCGCTGGAGGGAAGGCCGTGTGTGTGCGCGCGCGCGCGCG